ATTTGATACTTGTGATTACTTTGATTATTAACATTAATCATTTCAAGGCCAGACAGAACAAAATAAATACTAATACTTGACAAATTTTCCAATTCTAGATGCGTTATCACTTGTCAAAATAAAAAATATACAATATAATGTTTTTTTAAAAAATTTTGAATTTATTATATAAATATATAAATAAATAATAATCATAAAAAAAATTAAAATAATAAATCTAATAATTATTTTTTTGAATTCTTAATTTCATCCAACAAAATTTGCATTTGAGTCTTGAGGTCATCTTTAAGGTTTTTTTCTATTTCCATCATATTATTTATAAGTTTGCTTTCAATTTGTTGAAAATCAATTTCTTTTTTTTGACACACTCGGAGCAAGTTCTCTAAGCCTATCCGGAATATATGGGGGATTTTCTTCACCATTGTTGCTATCATCTGCTTTTTTAATTTCTTTACGAATATCATCAATTGGTACATTATATGATCTAACAAAAAAAAATTTTAAATAAGAGGAACAAATTGTAAAGTGTCTTCTTTTGGCATTTTTCTATTTTTAAATCCAATCAACTCATTAATAGCAATTCCACTATCATACTCTTCTAAAGAAGTTTGCGACAACCCTGATATGAAATCTTTGCCAGTACTACTTGTTGAAGAAGAAACAGCAATAGATTTTTTGTATGCCAATGTTTTTATTGTTTCAGATGCTGGGGCTGTAGAATTTGCCTTGTAATTGATGAATGAATTGATGCGTTGATGAAACAATTGGACATAGTAAATATTTAATATGAAAACAAATTAATTGATTAATTGATTGACTAACTAATTAAATTATATAACTAGCAACTAATAATTGATAGCTAACCAATTCTCTTATTATTTCTGCCTCATGAGCCTCTTTTGCCCTTCGCTCTTCATCTAATTCTTTTTTATAATCTTCGAATTTTCTTTTTTTATTTCTTTTTTCTATTTCTGAAATATAATTTGCAAATTTTTCTTCTTCCTCCTAAATAACAATTAATATTAATCAATAGAACTCTTATAACTATATATATATATTATTTATTTATTTATTTATTTCTTTATTTTTTTCTTTATTT